TGGCTCACGCCAGCATCAGTAAGGACGGGGAGGTCTGGATGTGTGGCTCGCGCCAGCATCAGTAAGGACGGGGAGGTCTGGATGTGTGGCTCGCGCCAGCATCAGTAAGGACGGGGAGGACTGGATGTGGCCCGTGCCAGCATCAGTAAGGACGGGGAGGTCTGGATGTGTGGCTGGCGCCAGCATCAGTAAGGACGGGGAGGTCGGGATGTGTGGCTCGCGCCAGCATCAGTTAGGACGGGGAGGTCTGGATGTGTGGCCCGCGCCAGCATCAGTAAGGACGGGGAGGTCTGGATGTGTTGCCCGCGCCAGCATCAGTAAGAACGGGGAAGTCTGGATGTGTGGCCCGAGCCAGCATCAGTAAGGACGGGGAGGTCTGGATGTGTGTCTCGCGCCAGCATCAGTAAGGACGGGGAGGTCTGGATGTGTGGCCCGCACCAGGATCAGTAAGGACGGGGACGTCTGGATGTGTGGCTCGCGCCAGCAACAGTAAGTACGGGGACGTCTGGATGTGTGGCCCGCGCCAGCATCAGTAAGGACGGGGACGTCTGGATGTGTGGCCCGCACCAGGATCAGTAAGGACGGGGACGTCTGGATGTGTGGCCCGCACCAGGATCAGTAAGGACGGGGACGTCTGGATGTGTGGCTCGCGCCAGCATCAGTAAGGACGGGGACGTCTGGATGTGTGGCCCGCGCCAGCATCAGTAAGGACGGGGACGTCTGGATGTGTGGCCCGCGCCAGCATCAGTAAGGACGGGGACGTCTGGATGTGTGGGCCGCGCCAGCATCAGTAAGGACGGGGACGTCTGGATGTGTGGCCCGCGCCAGCATCAGTAAAGACGGCGGAGGTCTGGATGTGTGGCTCGCGCCAGCATCAGTAAGGACGGGGAGGTCTGGATGTGTGGCCCGAACCAGGATCAGTAAGGACGGGGACGTCTGGATGTCTGGCTCGCGCCAGCATCAGTAAGGAAGGGGAGGTCTGGATGTGTGGCTCGCGCCAGCATCAGTAAGGACGGGGAGGTCTGCATGTGTGGCTGCGCCAGCATCAGTAAGGACGGGGAGGTCTGGATGTGTGGCTCGCGCCAGCATCAGTAAGGATGGGGAGGTCTGGATGTGTGGCTCGCACCAGCATCAGTAAGGACGGGGAGGTCTGGATGTGTGGCTCGCGCCAGCATCAGTAAGGACGGGGAGGTCTGGATGTGTGGCTCGCGCCAGCATCAGTAAGGACGGGGAGGTCTGGATGTGTGGCTCGCGCCAGCATCAGTAAGGACGGGGAGGTCTGGATGTGTGGCTCGCGCCAGCATTAGTAAGGACGGGGAGGTCTGGATGTGTGGCTCGCGCCAGCATCAGTAAGGACGGGGAGGTCTGGATGTGTGGCTCGCGCCAGCATCAGTAAGGACGGGGAGGACTGGATGTGTGGCCCGCGCCAGCATCAGTAAGGACGGGGAGGTCTGGATGTGTGGCTCGCGCCAGCATCAGTAAGGACGGGGAGGTCTGGATGTGTGGCTCGCGCCAGCATCAGTAAGGACGGGGAGGTCTGGATGTGTTGTCCCGCGCCAGGATCAGTAAGGACGGGGACGTCTGGATGTCTGGCTCGCGCCAGCATCAGTAAGGAAGGGGAGGTCTGGATGTGTGGCTCGCGCCAGCATCAGTAAAGACGGGGAGGTCTGGATGTGTGGCCCGCACCAGGATCAGTAAGGACGGGGACGTCTGGATGTGTGGCTCGCGCCAGCATCAGTAAGGATGGGGAGGTCTGGATGTGTGGCTCGCGCCAGCATCAGTAAGGACGGGGAGGTCTGGATGTGGGGCTCGCGCCAGCATCAGTAAGGACGGGGAGGTCTGGATGTGGGGCTCGCGCCAGCATCAGTAAGGACGGGGAGGTCTGGATGTGTGGCTCGCGCCAGCATCAGTAAGGACGGGGAGGTCTGGATGTGTGGCTCGCGCCAGCATCAGTAAGGACGGGGAGGTCTGGATGTGTGGCTCGCGCCAGCATCAGTAAGGACGGGAACATCTGGATGTGTGGCTCGCGCCAGCATCAGTAAGGACGGGGAGGTCGGGATGTGTGGCTCGCGCCAGCATCAGTTAGGACGGGGAGGTCTGGATGTGTGGCCCGCGCCAGCATCAGTAAGGACGGGGAGGTCTGGATGTGTTGCCCGCGCCAGCATCAGTAAGAACGGGGACGTCTGGATGTGTGGCCCGAGCCAGCATCAGTAAGGACGGGGAGGTCTGGATGTGTGTCTCGCGCCAGCATCAGTAAGGACGGGGAGGTCTGGATGTGTGGCCCGCACCAGGATCAGTAAGGACGGGGACGTCTGGATGTGTGGCTCGCGCCAGCAACAGTAAGTACGGGGACGTCTGGATGTGTGGCCCGCGCCAGCATCAGTAAGGACGGGGACGTCTGGATGTGTGGCCCGCACCAGGATCAGTAAGGACGGGGACGTCTGGATGTGTGGCCCGCACCAGGATCAGTAAGGACGGGGACGTCTGGATGTGTGGCTCGCGCCAGCATCAGTAAGGACGGGGACGTCTGGATGTGTGGCCCGCGCCAGCATCAGTAAGGACGGGGACGTCTGGATGTGTGGCCCGCGCCAGCATCAGTAAGGACGGGGACGTCTGGATGTGTGGGCCGCGCCAGCATCAGTAAGGACGGGGACGTCTGGATGTGTGGCCCGCGCCAGCATCAGTAAAGACGCGGAGGTCTGGATGTGTGGCTCGCGCCAGCATCAGTAAGGACGGGGAGGTCTGGATGTGTGGCCCGAACCAGGATCAGTAAGGACGGGGACGTCTGGATGTCTGGCTCGCGCCAGCATCAGTAAGGAAGGGGAGGTCTGGATGTGTGGCTCGCGCCAGCATCAGTAAGGACGGGGAGGTCTGCATGTGTGGCTTGCGCCAGCATCAGTAAGGACGGGGAGGTCTGGATGTGTGGCTCGCGCCAGCATCAGTAAGGATGGGGAGGTCTGGATGTGTGGCTCGCACCAGCATCAGTAAGGACGGGGAGGTCTGGATGTGTGGCTCGCGCCAGCATCAGTAAGGACGGGGAGGTCTGGATGTGTGGCTCGCGCCAGCATCAGTAAGGACGGGGAGGTCTGGATGTGTGGCTCGCGCCAGCATCAGTAAGGACGGGGAGGTCTGGATGTGTGGCTCGCGCCAGCATTAGTAAGGACGGGGAGGTCTGGATGTGTGGCTCGCGCCAGCATCAGTAAGGACGGGGAGGTCTGGATGTGTGGCTCGCGCCAGCATCAGTAAGGACGGGGAGGACTGGATGTGTGGCCCGCGCCAGCATCAGTAAGGACGGGGAGGTCTGGATGTGTGGCTCGCGCCAGCATCAGTAAGGACGGGGAGGTCTGGATGTGTGGCTCGCGCCAGCATCAGTAAGGACGGGGAGGTCTGGATGTGTTGTCCCGCGCCAGGATCAGTAAGGACGGGGACGTCTGGATGTCTGGCTCGCGCCAGCATCAGTAAGGAAGGGGAGGTCTGGATGTGTGGCTCGCGCCAGCATCAGTAAAGACGGGGAGGTCTGGATGTGTGGCCCGCACCAGGATCAGTAAGGACGGGGACGTCTGGATGTGTGGCTCGCGCCAGCATCAGTAAGGACGGGGAGGTCTGGATGTGTGGCTCGCGCCAGCATCAGTAAGGACGGGGAGGTCTGGATGTGGGGCTCGCGCCAGCATCAGTAAGGACGGGGAGGTCTGGATGTGGGGCTCGCGCCAGCATCAGTAAGGACGGGGAGGTCTGGATGTGTGGCTCGCGCCAGCATCAGTAAGGACGGGGAGGTCTGGATGTGTGGCTCGCGCCAGCATCAGTAAGGACGGGGAGGTCTGGATGTGTGGCTCGCGCCAGCATCAGTAAGGACGGGAACATCTGGATGTGTGGCTCGCGCCAGCATCAGTAAGGACGGGGAGGTCTGGATGTGTGGCCCGCGCCAGCATCAGTAAGGACTGGGAGGTCTGGATGTGTGGCTCGTGCCAGCATCAGTAAGGACGGGGACGTCTGGATGTGTGGCCCGCGCCAGCATCAGTAAGGATGCGGAGGTGTGGATGTGTGGCTCGCGCCAGCATCAGTAAGGATGCGGAAGTCTGGATGTGTGGCTCGCGCCAGCATCAGTAAGGATGCGGAAGTTTGGATGTGTGGGTCGCGCCAGCATCAGTAAGGATGCGGAAGTCTGGATGTGTGGGTCGCGCTAGCATCAGTAAGGATGCGGAAGTCTGGATGTGTGGGTCGCGCCAGCATCAGTAAGGATGCGGAAGTCTGGATGTGTGGGTCGCGCCAGCATCAGTAAGGATGCGCAAGTCTGGATGTGTGGGTCGCGCCAGCATCAGTAAGGATGCGCAAGTCTGGATGTGTGGGTCGCGCCAGCATCAGTAAGGATGCGGAAGTCTGGATGTGTGGGTCGCGCCAGTATCAGTAAGGATGTGGAAGTCTGGATGTGTGGGTCGCCCCAGCATCAGTAAGGATGCGGAAGTCTGGATGTGTGGGTCGCCCCAGCATCAGTAAGGATGCGGAAGTCTGGATGTGTGGGTCGCGCCAGCAGCAGCGCTGTCACCAGTCACTCACTATGATTCTAAAAGGATCACTTTACAGCCATGTCACTCCTGTGACATAAGTGGCGCAGTGTTGGGCATCGCACGATGTTGTACGTCGCATTTCACAGCGTTGCACATTTCACTGCTTTGCACATTGCTCAGCGTTGCACATTGCTCAGCGTTGCACATTGTACAGTGTTGAACATAATTTAGCAATGTGTACAACTTGGGCGAAGGAGAACAGTGAAGGAATGTAGGGTATTGCAGACCACTGTGCTACGAGTGTCTCTCAAGTCTGGAACTATAGGGCAGAAAGTTTTATAAAGCCTTTTATTAGTGAAAGACTTTTGTGATAGCCTCGTGATTCACCAGGAACCGTGGTAGAGCAAGGGTAACGTACAGGGGTACTCACTCAGGTCTAACGTCTGAAACAGGAGATTTCATGGTAGAGCAAAGGTAACGTACGGAAGTACTCACCCAGGTCCTCTGTCTCGAAGAGGAGGTTGTCGTGCACACCAAGGCGACGACAGAAGCGCAGGAAGTTGGAGATGTTATCTCGGGCGAAGAAAGTGCCGCTGCGGGCTCTCTCCCACGTCCTGTACGGCAGCCTGGGTACCTCCTGCAAGCAATAACACAAGACTATGTATACTTGCAAGGACCTTACACACTCACCAGACACCACACACGCAAGACTACACACACACACACACACACACACACACACACACACACACACACACACACACACACACACACACACACACACACACACACACACACACACAAACACACACAGGAGCTTGGACTCGACCCCTGCAACCTCAACTAGGTGAGTACACACACACACACACACACACACACAAAATGTTTAAAATACTTTCTGTCTCCCTCCCTCTCGAGATACTGGTAATACGTCAGTGATCCAGCTTCTCATGTCAACGTCCACATATTCTCTGCATTCTTGGCGATAAGGCTCTCTGAGACTGAATGTCGTTTCTGAAGTATGCCAGTATACTGCAACCCACGTAACTAGCATATGTCTTGTTTTTTTGTAAACATGGTTTATTCCTTTAAACCAGCGTAAGCATAGCCAAGTTGAATTCCTGTGTTGACAAATAATTTTCACTTTGATGAATCATGTTACTACAAAATCGCTTTTGGTTTTTTAACTTTAAAAAAAATGATCTTATCTGTAGTATTTTTTTTGTGATTTTTATATATTTTATATATTTGTATAATATTAAATACATACTGTTGGCACTATTGCACAGCTCGAGTGATACGAGGATACTGTGTGCTAGTTAGTTATATATCTCTACCACTCTCCTCTCTGACCACTCGTCTCTACCACTCTCCTCTCTGACCACTCGTCTCTACCACTCTCCTCTCTGACCACTCGTCTCTACCACTCTCCTCTCTGACCACTCGTCTCTACCACTCTCCTCTCTGACCACTCGTCTCTACCACTCTCCTCTCTGACCACTCGTCTCTACCACTCTCCTCTCTGACCACTCGTCTCTACCACTCTCCTCTCTGACCACTCGTCTCTACCACTCTCCTCTCTGACCACTCGTCTCTACCACTCTCCTCTCTGACCACTCGTCTCTACCACTCTCCTCTCTGACCACTCGTCTCTACCACTCCCCTCTTTTGTGTTCAGTAATTTATATTTTATTTGCGATTCTATAATCTTTTGAACTGGTGTTTACGTATCCCCATTACAGTCTACCTGTTCTCCCCCCCCCCATCCCTCTTCAAGCGTTTAACAGTGTAATTCTCGCGTTTAAAGGATACCTTTAATTGGAGAATAGATTGAAACTCAAGAATGTGACACTTCCTGGTTCCTGGTTTCACAACGTTCCTACTACGAGCAAACATCGTCAAGGACTCGGACAAAGGAAACCAAACTATAAAGGTGGTGATTATGATGGCACGAGAGAGGGAACTGGAAGAAATACAGTGGGAGCGTAACTGGAAGAAGTGCAGTGGGAGAGGGAACTGGAAAAAGTGCAGTGGGAGAGGGAACTGGAAGAAGTGCAGTGGGAGCGGTAACTGGAAGAAGTGCAGTGGGAAAGGTAACTGGAAGAAGTACAGTGGGAGAGGGCACTGCAAGACCAAGCTATGTGAACGATGATCTAGACTGTCGAGTTCAAGTATGAAGAAAGAAAGGAATTGCTTATACGTAGTGTATATTTAAATAATGTGGAGAAGACGCGAGAAGACGTGCAAGAAATTCGGAGAACACGAAGCAGCCAAGAACAGAGGAGTAGGCAGAAAAGGAAGTAGTGAATAAGCGAGCCTAAGAAAGCAAGACAAGAGACAGTTTTTCTGATATAACATCAAAAGCCTCAACACAGGTACTCCACAGCCACATAAAGATGCGACTGTAATGTCATAAGGCTGAAGGAGAGGGGGACATTAAAACGGAGGATGAAAGAGAAGTACGTAAAGCGCAAAGAGCTTGAAGGAAAGAAAAAATATCAGAAGAAAGAGCAGAGAGTCACCTGCAAGCTCTGCTCTCAAAACATACTCACCGGAGCAAGAAAATATTAACACAGAGAAAGTTATGAGACTACAAACAGAACTTGACGCAACAGAAGCACCGAGACCAAACATGTCCATGGGTTCTGAGAGAAGCAGAACTATTGGTCTCCAACCAAGCACTGCAGAGGAGAAAGCTGCCAAACAACTGGGTGGGGAAGAAGAGGCCGGTTTGGTCTCCATACACAAGAAAAGAGACAGACAGGAGACATTGAACTACAGACCAGCGCCTTCAACGCTCACTTGATCAAAAGTTTCGGAAAGACTGTAAAAAGAAAATGGTGTCGGAACATGTGGAGAAAATGTATTAAAATAAAGAAAAGCGCCTCACGGTTTTTAGGAATTGGGGAAATCTTGTCCTTTGAGAATTGTTGGAGTTTTTTTTTTTTTGACAGGTACAGGGAAATAACGCAAGAAAGACGAGGGTGAACTGCATCTTCCTGCGCTGTGAGGGAGTAGTCGACATGGAACCACACGAGACTGGTATAGAAATCAAAAGAAACACCGGAACGTAGTGTTACTATGGATCAGAGAGCACCTGAAAGTGTTACAATGGATCATTGAGCACCTGAAAGTGTTACAATGGATCAGGAAGCACCTGAAAGTGTTACAATGGGTCAGGAAGCACCTGAAAGTGTTACAATGGATCAGAGAGCACCTGAAAGTGTTACAATGGATCAGAGAACACCTGAAAGTGTTACAATGGATCAGAGAGCACCTGAAAGTGTTACAACGGATCAGGAAGCACCTGAAAGTGTTACAATGGATCAGAGAGCACCTGAAAGTGTTACAATGGATCAGGAAGCACCTGAAAGTGTTACAATGGATCAGAGAGCACCTGAAAGTGTTACAATGGATCAGGAAGCACCTGAAAGTGTTACAATGGATCAGGAAGCACCTGAAAGTGTTACAATGGATCAGGAAGCACCTGAAAGTGTTACAATGGATCAGGAAGCACCTGAAAGTGTTACAATGGATCAGAGAACACCTGAAAGTGTTACAATGGATCAGGGAACACCTGATGCAGTGTTACAGTGGATCAGGATGTAGATAGTACCATATACTGTGGTTTATTGTAGGTTATTTGATTTTATTGTAGGTTATTTTATTGTAGTTTATTTTATTGTAGGTTGTTTTATCTTATTGTAGGTTGTTTTATCTTATTGTAGGTTATTTTATCTTATTGTAGGTTATTTTATCTTATTGTAGGTTATTTTGTTTTATGTTATTTTGTTTTATTTTAGTTTGTGTTTTATTTTAGGTTATTGTATTTTATTGTTATTGTTAGTTATTGTAGGTTACTTTATTGTTATTATATTTTATTGTAGGCTATTGTATTTAATTGTAGGTTAAAGAGACGTAAATTTACGATAATACACGTGAACCTAAATATAAAAACTAGTAATATATTTCCCTTGTGTTTGATCGTGTGGAAAATGGCGAATGGTATTTTGGAGGACACTGTAAACTTTGAACTGCAAGCTTTGATCTGGAAGAAGAAGAAAAAAAGGCACAATGCCATGACTGGAACAAAACCCAAACATCCCGCACATAACTTGTGAGGACGTTTCGGTCCGACTTGGAGCAGCAACAGCCTGGTTGATCAGGCTCTGATCCACCAGGAGGCCTGGTCACAGACCGGGCCGCGGGGGCGTTGACCCCCGGAACTCTCTCCAGGTAAACTCCAGGTATACAAGTCACAATAAGACACGAGAGTGAAGGAGTCAGTATATATAAGCGAGGGGGGACAGGATAAAGAGAGGAAGAAAGAAGTGGTAGAGGTAATGCTGGTAGTAGTAGTAGTAGAAGAGACAGAAAGGGAAGTGAAGCGAGGCAATAGTAGTAGTAGTAGTGATAATAGTAATGGAATAGTAGTACTGCAGGGGAGTTCATGGCCTACAAGGGGTGGGACCAAAATCACAGGGAAGGGGGGGAGGGGAAAACTGAAGGACAGGACACACCTAGGCAGAGGAAAGAAAATGAAAAATAGGAAAGAAGTGGTATGGAAATGAGGATAATGAAAGATCAGGTCAAGTCACGAGTGTTCTGAAGTTTAGATCATTTGATAGTGTAATGAGAAAGGAAGACATCCACAGAGACAACGCCACGACTAAGATTCTTATTAGGAAAGTTGTTTATAAAGGATGATTCAACAGGACAGCGTTTTGGAAGGCAGTTAAAACTGTCTACTCCATTACTACCACTACTTTTACCACCATTACTATTACCACTGTTACTACTACCACTATTACTTCTACCACTGTTATTGCCTCTCTTCACTCCCCTTTGTCTCTTGTGCCAGTGTTCTCCTCCCTTAAGTCAAGGTGACCTGACCTGACTAGGTTGGGTGCATTGGCTTAAGCCGGTAGGAGACTTGGACCTGCCTCGCATGGGCCAGTAGGCCTGCTGCAGTGTTCCTTCGTTCTTATGTGCTACCATTATTACTACTACCAGCATTACCTTTACCATTTCTTCTCCACTTCCTTTTTCCTCAATTTTTCCTATCTTTGTCCCCCTTGACTATATAATACTGGCTCGCTCACCCTGGTCATGTGGGGCACAGTTATGGCGAAGAACCCCATCCCCCTCAAGGAAGGTTCCTTGATGTTGGTGAGGGGCTCTTGATTTAGGAAATTGGATCTGTGCTCCAGTTCCCCGAATTAAGCCTGAATGCCTTCCACATCCCCCCCCCCCAGGCGCTGTATAATCCTCCGGGTTTAGCTCTTCCCCTTGATTATAATAATAATAATATGGCGAAGAAACTGTGAGACTTCTTCTTGGACTCCTGGAGCAGCGAGGCAAGCATGGTGTGGAAGACAGTAAACTCGGATCACAACCTACTGGAAACTCAACTCAACTCAACCCTACTTGATGTTTTCATCAAATTCAACTTTTAACTATGTGAACGTCAACTGGGATCTAATCATTAATGAAACATGCTGTGAAGATATATTGAATAACATGGATCCGAGTCAACGTCTAGGAAAGATTAACTCTTTGGCAGTAGAAGTATGTTCACGGTACTTAGCACCAAGGAGAAAGAAAAGATGCAAATCAGAAAGTCGCTCCTCGTGCAGG